TTCCTCCCGAGCACCCCCAGGCGGGATACAGAATGTGTCCAATTGAAAAGTTAGTTCAACTCTGCAGTGCAGTGATGGGCTGAATTGTAACAGGGGTGTGTGCATGTATGTGTGCGCACATAGCCAGGGAATCACTCGGGAAGCCATGTCATAAGTATTTTGCATGTGTGTATGCATATATAGCCAGGGAATCATCCAGAAAGCCATGTAATAAGTATTTCTTTTAAAAAAAAACAAAAAACAAAAAACGTAATTTCTTTGTTGATTCTTTGGGAATTTCACATCATGCACCCTAATTCCACTCACCTCCCAGTCCTCCCATGTCCTCCCCTCCCACATGCAGTGCCCCCACCAAAAGAAAATAAACTAAAAACAAACAAACAAAAAGCCTCTTTGCTTCTCCTTCTTTCCTGCCTGTCCAACACCTCTTCACTCATCCTGGTGGCATTGGGAGGTGCAGTGTGTCCAGTCAGCTTTACTAGCAAATGCTCATTGCAATGACTCGTTGGTCTGGTTCAGGGCCTCTGGTTTCTGGTACACCATCCTCACTGGATACTGACCAAAACTCCTCTCAGAGATCGCTTGACCACCCCCAGTCATGGAGATCCTGCAGAGCATTTCACAGGACCAGTCTCTTCATGATCTTCAGCAGGTCCTAGATAGATGTTAGGATGGGCCAACCCAAGGCCTGGCTGTGGGGCCACTCATCTCATGTGAGGAGGCAGAGCCTGCTCCCCAAAGCCCATGCCTTCAGGGTCAGTTCTCCCTTGCCCGTGGTGATGGGGGAGTCATCTCTCCTGAGTGTCAGGGCCAGCTCTCCTGCTGCAGTGTGCGGTGAGGGGCCGTGCCAATGAGGTGTGGTGCTGGCTCAGTGCAGCACTCTGGTTTCACCATGTATGGTCCCTCTGAGGCCAGAGCCGTCAACTTAGATCCAGCTGCAGCAGGACCATGGACCCAGACATGGCCGTTGACAGCAGCTTGGGTCTAACAGGTATTTGTGAAAAGTGCTTTCTTATTGCTTTGTGAGGTGTGTGGGCATGATACATGTATGTGTGTGTGAGTCAGTGAATATGTGTACACACAAGTCACAGCGTACATGTGGAAATCAGAGGTCAACCTAGGGGTTGGTCCTCTACCTTCAATCTTGTTTGTGGCAAGTCCCCTGTGCTGGGTACTTTTATGTAAATGTGACATGGGCTATAGTAATCCCAGAGGAGGGAGCCTCAATTCAGAAAATGCTCCCCTAAGATTGGGCTGCAGACAAGTCTATAAGGCATTTTCTTAATTAGTGATTGATGTGGGAGAGTTCAACCATTATGGGTGGGGCCACCCCTGGGCAGGTAGTCCTGGGTTCTATAAGAAAGCACCTCTGCATGGCTTCTGCTTCCAAGTTCCTGCCCTGATGTCTTTCAGTGATGGGTCACGATGTGCAAATAGAAAACAAATAAACTCTTTCCTCCCCACCGTGTTTTTGGTCATGATGTTTCATCATAACAATAGTAATCCTAGCTAAACAGAAATTGGTACCAGGGTGGTGGGTATTGCTGTATTGTTGTCTTGGGAAGAATTGTGGAAAGGCTTTGGAACTTTAGGCCAAGTCACTGAGTGTTGAGAGTTCAGTGGGCTGTTCCGCAGGGGCTCGGAAGGTAACTATGTTGAAAGCAGTGCAGACCTTGGAGGCCTGGTTTGTGAAGGGAAGCAAAGACTCTGCCAGGCTTATGTGTGAAGAATCTGTGGTTCTGGTCAGCTGGACCTGAAGAATCGGCTGTGATTAACAAGGGCCGAGAATTACTGAAGTAAAACCTTTGCTTTTCTGGGACAATGAAAGCTGGCCAGCTGGGACTGGAGAATCAGCTGTGATTAAGAGGAGGCCAGCATCACTGTGGTGAAATCTGGGAAGGATTTCCTCGGGGCCAGCACACAGAAGCAGTGTTCCCCAGGCAGCTGAAGTCCCTCATCCTGGCAGCTGAACCGGGCAGTGTAAGAGTCATCTGATGCCGAACTTAGTGCGGACCCGATCGGCATGATACACTACAGCCCAGAACCCCTGGACTCAAGTGGTCCTCCTGTCCCAGACTCCTGACTATCGGCGTGCAAGACCGTGCACTGGTTTGAAGGCAGGAGTGGGTCATGGAGAGCAGCTGAGGCTTGGACGCTGTGACAGGGCTGCAGTCCCTGGAGAGAACACAGAAGAGGCTACTGGTGAGAGAGCAGCCCAGTTGCAGCAGAGACCCCAGCATTTTGAAGACACCAGTGCCACGGGATGACCACCAAGAGCAGCTGCGGTGGTGGAGGGAAGCCAGTCGGAGCCCGTAAGACAAGCTGTGTATGCTGCAGAGGGTGCAGCCAGAGAAGTGACCCAGACCCTTTCGAGGAGCACTGAAGATCGTGAGTGAACCCCAGACACTGGATATTGAATTGTTTACACAGTTGGAGTTTGATTATGACTGTGCCCTAGTTCCCGGGTTCTTTCCTCTTGAAATAAGAAAGTATTTAACTTGTTTATTATTATTATTATTATTATTATTATTATTATTATTATTTTATAGGATCCCACAGTTCAAAGACTTTGGCTATTAAAAGAATGAGTTTTTAAAAGGGGTTGAATTTGTATGACTTGTGTGACTTTGTAAGTTTAAAATTTTTACATTGTGATGTCAATATTTAATGTATGAGCTTGGGGATGAAAAAGAAAAGAAAGGTCGTGGCTCAACACTGGTGTGTTTGTGTGTCAAATTGACAGGGGTCAGTTGTGCTGGCTAATTTTATGTCATATGAGAGGAGGGGACTCAATTGAAAAAATACCTCTCTAAGATTGGGGTGCAGGCAAACCTGTATGGCATCTTTTAGTGACTGATGAAGGGGTCTGCTCGGGACTTTGTGGGTGGCACCATCGCTAGACTGGTGGTCCAGGGTTCTATAAGAAAGCAAGTTGAGCACGCCGTGAGGAGCAGGTCAGTAAGCAGCACACCGTGACCTCTGTGACCGCTCCTGCCCCCAGCTTCCTGCCTGCCTTCCTTCAGGAAAGGACTGTGATGTGGAAGTGTGAGCCAGATGAACCCTCTGCACCCCAACTTGCTTTGGCCGCTGTGTTTCATCACAGCAGCAGTAACGCTAGCTGGGGCACTCCCTTTGTTGACCGCGCTTGTGCTTCCTATGCCAGGCCAGCTGACTCAGAAGCTCCGGCAGTCTCCTGCTTCAGCTTCTCACTGGGCAGTGGGCACACGGGGATTACAGACTTGCTGGGCCATTCCTCATACTTACACAGCCAGCATTTTATTTTCTGTACCATCTCCACAGCCCTCAATCACTTTTTAAGGGTAAAGTTTCTGTCTGTCATCCAGAATTAAAAATACTTCATCTGGCACTTAACCTTAATATGTTCTGCCATCTGTGACTTTGCTTTGTCCCCGCTCCCACCCCATAATAACCCTTTCAACTCCTTCTCTTTGTATGTTCCAAGCACTCCTTTGTGTCTTTAATTTCTATTTTGCATTATTGAAGAATACAGTAAAGAATACTCCAGTGAATACCCATGAATTTGCCACCCAATTTAGGAACTGAGAAACGATCTCTTTTCGAGTGGCATTTTCTGGGCTCTGTTTCCTGCGCCTTGCAGAAGAGCACCACGCAGATGGTAAACATTTTGTGCAAGGCCCCATCACCTCGCCGTTCCTATGGCTGTCTGGGAAAGCTTGCCAGCGGCAGTCTCTCTTGGACTTGGGCTTAACCCTAAGTAGTCTAACAGCTGAGCGCCAGGTAATGCCTCAACCTGTTCCAGGATCAAGAGACCCATGATGCTTTGCAAATTTATGTTATCCCTTGCACTTTAAGCATAAGACTAAGCACCTTCCCTTCTGAAATCTCTATCAGAGACATTTTTCATGTAACCCATTGACTACTTTTGGCACATATGGTGAGTGTGTTTGAAAACAGTCTCTGCCTAAATTTCAAATCTGAGAATGGAGTGTGTTTGTGCATGCGCATGTGTTCAGTCTTACAGAACGCTCTTTTGGTTTGTTCCCCAATTGATCATCAATTGATCCATCATTTGATGACTCTAAGTATCTGACCCTGTGGAGTGCCAGAACCTGGCGTGACCTGCCAGGTGGTGTGGAATCACCATGGTGTTTACTCATTTATGTTGCATCCTGGGACAACTGGCATCTTTTCTGCTCTTGAGAGTGCAGTTCCTTGAACGTGTTCCTGCTGCTGCCCGCGCTGCCCGCATCCTGGTCTCTTGCTGCTGCTGTATGTGCCACCAGCGTCCTGGTCTATTTGCTGACATCACACCTTTTGCTGCGGTGACTACACATCATAGCAACAGCATCCGCCTCATCTTCTTCACCTTGGCAACTTAATTTCCTGAGAAGTCAGGCACACAGCAAAGAAGCTTGTCTGGGATCTGTTGTTAGGAAGCATCCCAAACCACAGATTCCCAGGAAGAGAACTGGGGAACAAGTAACTGGCCATTGATTTTTAAAAATCTATGGAATGATAAACCCATGGTGTCTCTTTGTTACAGCTGATGGCTAGACTGTGCAATACTCTTTTGTGATTCAAAAGCTAGAGCCTTAGAGTCTGTCCTATAGAACACACATGGCTTAGTTTCTGTGCATAGCGATGAGGAAGTTTTCAAAGAGAACTATAAACTGTACATGTTTTATTTGGGTGCTTATTGTTTTAAGCATTGATTATCTTTTCATTTGTAATGAATAGGATTTCTCCATAAGCCACTTGTCATTTGCATAATGTGAAAATCCTTTGTATAATAAGCCCTCAGAGTTGTCAATTGGATCCCGGGCACAAGACGTTCCTTTCTCTCTGTGTAGGGTTTGCTTTGCTTATAATACTGAAAACGAAAGTGAGAGGACCTGGTAACTTTCCAGATGTTATTACCAAGTGGTCACCATCGCTGCTCACTCGCTCATTTCTCGGGATCTGTGTTTTCATCGTCATTGACAACAGAACCGTGTCTAACTGTGCTTCTCTCTCTGTAGGACAGTCGGCCCAATATGTCAAGACCTCTGATCACTAGATCCCCCGCATCGCCACTGAACAACCAAGGCATTCCCACTCCAGCCCAGCTCACCAAGTCCAATGCACCGGTCCACATTGATGTGGGCGGCCACATGTACACCAGCAGCCTGGCCACCCTCACCAAATACCCCGAGTCCAGGTAATTGCAAAAGTGGGGATGTCGCTCTCAGAAGTGTGTGTGTTTGATGCTCTTGATTGCTTTTCCTTTGATCAGAAGAACAGTGTTGCCTGACCAGCACCAAGTGCAGGGCATGACCTGCTGAGGCTATTCAGGGCCATGGCTGTTTGATTCCACAGTTGGGGCATGGAGTACTTGTCCAAATGTCACTTTCTGAGTGCCATGGTGGACGCCTGTAATTCCAGAATTCAGGAACCTAAGGAGAAGGATCATGAATTCAAGACAGGCTGGTGCTACATAATGAGCTCAAGACCAACCAGGACTATAGAATGAGGCCCTATCTCAAAATACAAATGATGATGGGGGTTGGGGTGAAATGACCCAGGGCAGGCCTAATGGGCTCAGTTCAAACCATGTCAAGGTGGAAGGAGAGAATCCAGAGCATTGTCCTCTAAGCTCCACCTGTGCGCTGTGGTGTGAGTGGGCACAGACACACGAAAGAGAGAGAGAGAGAGAGAGAGAGAGAGAGAGAGAGAGAGAATGCTTATAACATAAATAGACAATATTGAGTAAAAATCATAATTATGATAAAATGTTATAAAGTATTTTAGTTTTTTCAGATCTCTCTTGACTACCTAGTACTTTATAAAAGAATTTCAGCCTGGCAGTACTCGGGAAGCAGAAGCAGGTGGATCTCTGTGAGTTTGAGGCCAACCTGGTCTATAAGAGCTAGTTCCAGGGCAGGCTCCAAAGCAACACAGAGAAACCCTGTCTTGAAAAACCGAAAAAGTAAAAGAATTTGAAAATTGGGGTGAAAAGGATAGAAAAGTGTGTTCTCTTGCCTTCCAGGCTTACTTTCCACGATAAAAATGAAGTGATTAAAATACAGATTTGTGAGGTATCCACAGAGCTGTGCATCTACAATCCTGGCTCTCAGCTGTTAGTACAGGTATGACTCGGAAATGTTAAGAAAGCCATACAAATGACATGCTCACGGTGGCTGTAGTCTTAGTTTTCAAGAATGTGACTCTAAAGCTCACTACATAGAAAAGGCTGACCTCAAACCCAAGAGATCTGCTGCCTCTGCCTCCTCGGGGCTGTGATTAAAGGCGTTCCCCACTTCCCTGGGCTCATTAATGTTTTATTTTCTTGATGTGAAAATTTAGTTTATAAAATGGTTAATAACTTTTTATACATTGATTTATATTTTCCTTTTGCATATAAACATTTTGCCTACATATAAATATGTATAGCATGCACGGTGGCCTCAGAAGCGAGAAGAGGGCTTCAGTTCTCCTGGATCTGCAAGTATGGATGATTGTGAGCTACCACGTGGGTTCTGGGAACCAAATCTAGTCCTCATTTTTAGTAGCAACAAGTGCTCCTAACAGTTGAGCCTTCTTTGCAGCCCAGGATTACAACATCTTAAGCGACTTGTCCATTCATTAAAAAAAAAATAAGAATCTGGCTCTATAGCTATTATTCTTTTTAAAAAGTGCCTAATTGTAATTCTTCCAACCTCCTGTTGATACTGACATCAGCTACAGAAAACTGCTGCTGGCCCTTCAGATGGGGGAGTTAAATCCAGGGTCAAGTACAATCCATCTACAAAGGTCCATCTCCTTTCCTGGAATGTAGGACAAGCTAGTGATCTGGTCTGGTGGCCTTTGCTTTTGTTTGCATTTAAAACTTCTGATTTAAGGGGGAAATTAATGCAGCCTGAGAGGCTTCCTTCTCAAATACATAGGAACAGAATTATTTCTGATTCGGCGTGTTTTCAAAGTTTAGAATATTTGTCTATGTATAATGAGATATCCAGGGAAATAGGACCCAAGCTGGACATGAAATCCATCTATGTTTCATATATATATTACACACATATTCTGAGGATCATTCTGTGTCATGTTTTTAGTAATTCTGTGTACAAAAAAAGTTTCATGACATGGAATTTTCTATGTAGGGTGTTATATTTGTGCCCAAAAGGTCTTGGGGACTGGGGAAATAGCTAAATTGGCAAGGTGTTTGCCACAAAGGCATGGATCTAACCCCCAGAACTCACAAAAGGAAGCTGGAATGTCCTATAATCCCAGCTGTCCTACTTATCGAGAACTTGACATAGCCTAGTCACCTAGGAAGAAAGAACTTCCGTTGAGGAATTGCCTCGACCAGATAGGCATGCCTGTGGGTACTGTCTTGATTGCTAACGAATCTAGGGAATTCAACCCACCGTAGGCTTTCCAGTCCCTAGGCAGGTGTCATGGGTTGTATAAGAAAGCTAGCTAAACATGAGTCTTCAAGCAAGCCAGCTGGCAGGCAGCATTCCTCTGTGGGATCCACTTAAGGCTCACGTTTGACTTCCTGCCTTGGCTTCCCTCTGTGCTGGATTGTGACCTAGAAATACAAGGTAACTGAAGGCTTTCCTCCTCCTTTTCAGGGTGTTTGATCACAGCAACAGAATAAACAGTACCAGGGAGGCAGAGTAAGTGGATCCCTGGGTCTCAGTGGCCGACCAGCTAATTAGGCAAGTCCTAGGCCAATGCAGGACCCTGTTTCCAAAAACATGATAGACCGCTCCTGAGGAATGACGCCCAGGGTTGACTTTTGGCCTCCATACACACGTGCATTTCTCCAAGCCCCACAAACATGCATGAACACATATGTGCACACATTCCAATAGATGCCCACATCAAAGTTCTGGACTTTGGAGCATTTTGGATGTGGGTGGTTGGACCATTGGCCTGTGCCTTAGGCTACTGGTTTTTGTCTAGTTGCTCAGTGCAGCTGCGTGGATCTTTTCCATAGTCTGATGCTCTCTGAGGGTCAACCATTGTAGCACCCTGGATTCGCTTGAACTTCAGGCAGTGGTGGATGATAAAAGGTTGGCCACTCTCTTCATTCTGTTTCTGTCTCTCATAATTTTCCAGTCACCTCCTGTTGGTGCTACATATTTTAGACCTCAATTAATATCTTGTTTGGAGACTTCCTAGTCTATCTTTCCATGAATATTCCTCGAGTATTGTGATTCAGACCCTGAAACATGCGTCAGATTCCGTACATGCCTTTACTCTCTCTAGCTGCTTGGTCTCTTATAGCAGTCAGTTGCCACATGCATGACTGAGCATTCAAAGGGAGGACAGTCCGAATTGAAATCCCCTTTTGATGTACATTACACACTCAATTTTGAGGCATTGAACTAAAAAAAAAAACCCTCTAAAATATCTCAATGATTTTTATATTGCTTCCTTTTCATGTTGGAATGGTAATATTCTGAGTTAAGTGGAAATGCATTTCAGACAAATTCTGTCTCTTTTCACTTTTCCCATGTGACTGCTAGAAAATGTGAACATGCTTCTGCGTCTTCTTTCCTGCATGGCAGCACCAAACTAGGAATCTAGGCTTCTAGGAAAAGCATTAAACCCACCCCTTCCCCATTCTGATACTTGCACACACCACAAACTGACTTTTCTCAGCAGCATATTAGAAAAGGCAGGATTATCAGCATGCCTTCCTAAGTGTCCCTCTCATTCCCAGTCACGCATCGTGCCGTCGCAGCAACAACAACGCAGCAACAACAAAGACATGTTTTGTTTTCTTTGGATGTTTCAGGGATCAAACTCAGGGCCTTGTGCATGGCAAGCACGTGTTCTGCCTCTAAGCCTCACCTCCCAAGCGAAGTGATTTGATTCGTTGTATCTGCATTTAGATGCAGGCTTTGCCATTCACCAGGGAGTTCTTTGATGGGTTGTTAGGGTCCAATGGCCGAACACCTGCCTTCCCTCTTTCAAAACAGGTACAGAAATGTCTTCTTACAAAGCTAATAATTAAAGTGATCATAGAAATATCTTCATAGCCCTGTGCTTCATGCAGAGCAAGCTGCGATATCCAGCCATTGTCTCTGCTCAAACTGCCTTCCAAATTCTAAATGGACCCCACTCCTTCTATGCCTATAGCCAAGAGACAGCCTGACATGGGGCTCTCCTTCCTTGTATCTGGTATTGTGTCCTCTCTGGTATACTCGCCCTGAGCTCATCCTTTCTAACAGGACATAGCATTAGACTCATGTCGGGTATCAAAGAAGCTTCCATTCCCATGGCTCATAACTAAAACTAATGGCACTGGTCAGATGCTGGCTCAGGGGGTCACTGGCCACCGTGTGCGGCTCTGCTTCTCCTTGGTTCTTATAACACTGCAGTAAGTAATTAAATATTCATCTCAAAGGAAATTCAGAAAGGGACCCACACTCAGATTTTAGCAGTCAAGCATATTTAGAAGAACAGACATTTGTGATTTTACCCATAGCTCAATGTCCCTTCCAATTTCTGTAAAGATCTCCTACCTAGTCAACCCTCTTTCAATGAACCCAGAAAGCCTGGCTGGGTTACTCGTGACCTTAGAAGTATTAGCAGCTCCTCTGGTTAGCATTCTCTAGGTTCTAGGGGCTTGGAACCCTCCTTCCCTGGAGCACTCATCCTGCCCTACCCACCGAGCCCCTGTGAACCCCTGGTTCTTCTCTAGCTGCCTCTTCTGATGGAGTGGCCCAGAGAGAAGAGGCTCTTCGGGAACTATAGGGAAGACTTTAGTTAAGAAATTCTGATCTGTAAGTAACAAATAACCTTAAAAGACATGTAATGTAGGAGGTGAGGCATAGGAGGTGAGGTGTGGGGGCGTGAGGTGTGGGGCATGGGGTACGGAAAGTGAGGTGTGGGGTTTGGGGTGTGGAGTGTGAGGTGCGGGGGGGGGTGAGGTGTAGGGCGTGAGGTGCGGGAGGTGAGGTGTGAGGTGGGGGGGGCGGGTGAGGTGCGGGAGGTGGGGTGCAGTGTAGCAGTTTACAGCCCTGCTCTAGGGAAAGACTTCTCCAATGTAATGGAGCTCTGCTCCAGCAGCAGAGGGCTTCCCCAGGGAAGTTGTAACAGTTGGATTCCAGTGCCCCAGCAGGTACAGTCCCGCTCAGCTTGGCTCTGTCTGTGCTCTGGGGAAAGAAGGTCTCACCCAAACCTCGGTCAAGAAGAGATTTATGGGGA